TGGTACAGAATCAGATGACTTGCAGCATCATGTTCCAATCAAAAGAACAAGGGTGCCTGTGGTTGTTGCCAATGTGACAAGAAAGAGGCCTTCAAAAAGGACATCAACAAAACGGCCATCATCACTTGACCTAGCCAAGTTCCTGCCATTGACTGGAGATGAACGTTTGGGTGTCATATGTTTTCGCTGTGTATTGTTTGCCCTTGGCATTGGTCAGTCCCGGTATACACGTGTCCTTTGGCAAGTGAATTATATAAATCATTTGATTTGATTTGTGTTCATTTACATGTGTTTTGCAGTGCTGCTATTGAAGAGTGTACTGATGGGATCTGAGGTTCTCAATGGGCAGCCAGACTTGCGGCGGTCAGGGTTCCGCACAACTGCCACCAGCTCTCCTCAGCTGGATGTTGCCAACAAGTTTCTACAGATGAAGTACCATTCTGAAGGTGAGTTTTTACCTGAGCGGTGGGATTTTTCTGCTAAGAGTGAGTTTGTGATTGACAAGGCTTGGAAGAATATTGGTCAAGTGACAAATGATGATTCTGATCCAGAGACTGATGGCTCTGATGACAATGAGGATGCTGAGGAAAGAGCTGTATCTTCTTTGGCATGTGATGCAATTGTCATGAGTGAGCCTTTCCGGATGGCAGCTGTTGGTCCAGGAAGTGGGCCAGGAGTTCGCAGATATTTGGGGGTTGTAAAGCCTGCAATTCTCTTTGAATGCATGTTGAAGTGGTGTGCTCAATGCAACTTGCTGCCTGCCCCTTCATTCACCACATTTTTGAGGGCATTGCGACAAGCCCGGCCTTGGATACGTTTTAGATGCTTGGATCATAACAGTTCCTAGATTTGGTCTCCTATTTGTCAAGTAAGTTTTTTTTGGCGAACATGTTCGTGCATGTGTCACAAAGAAGTTATGCTGTCAAGGAAAGGCTCAGGGCCAACATGGTCTGTGCAACTCCTGTTGCTGGTATAAGAAGCAGCTCAGATGCCATCTGTCATGTGACGCCCGTGTCAATGTGATGAACCAGTATGCTGCTCATCTTCTACAAAACTGGAAGGACCGACAGTTTGACAGCGCACTACATGCCATGGCTTGCCAAACGCGACAAGCAATGATTGCTGGGACTGATGTTGCTGCCATACAACAAAGTGTAATTGAGCTTGTCAGAGGAAAGGTTATGCTTGTGACTTACTGTAATATGTTACTGTTTTGTTTTAATGTGGTCATTGGCTCTACTCATTGCCATCAAACATTGAGGTATTGCTGATGCGTTCAGATGCGTTGGATCAAGCCAAGCATCGAGTCCCGAGGCAAATGCAGCCTTCAAAGGCATTCAGTGAGCTGATCAGGCCATGTTGTCATGTGATGATGGTGTGGATCCACTGCATGACATTTGACTTTTGCATCTCTGATGCTGACTGTTTCAAAGAGGCTTGGCTTGTTTTGTGGCATTGTTTTTTGTATGTATTAAGTCAAAATGATTAGGACCACGTAACACATCAGGAAATACACAACCTTAACACTCAGGACACGTGCAATCATTGTGAAACTTTGGCACGTGCCACAAGCAGATGCTATGACAAGTTTGGTGGACGCCTGCCAAGACATTATTTCTTGATATTGGACAACACGTGTTCCTGCAACAAGAACCAATTGCTCTTGAAGTGGCTCACCAAGTTGATTGTCATGGATGCCTTTGTGACAGCAACGATCCTGTTTCCTGTGAAGGGTCATACACATGGACCCTTAGATGCCATTGGCGGTCAGGCTGTGACACGGTGTAGTCACATGCCATTTGATGATCCAAATGGCTTGGTGGACACGTACCAGCAGTTCTTGTCACGTGCCACATTTGAGGAGGGGACGTTCTCAAAGACATGTTACAAACATGACAACAGTGCTGACTGGAACGCATGGATCAATGACATTCCATTGAAGTTTGCCAATCACACTGGTCCAATGGCGCCGCATGGCTTTCGGGTCCTCAAGCGGAAGCATGCCAAGAAGGAGGAGGTGGAGCATGCCAAGTACCACTGTGCCAACCCTTCGCCAAATGACATCATGATGCTGCTGTATCACTATATGTCTGATGCACTTCCATACCAAGTGGTCAGGCTGTTTAGCAACTTGCATTCAATATTAATGTATTGTTTTTGTTTGCAGCAGCTTCAGGCATATTTTTTGCATGTGATTGGGTTTTATATAATCAAATGTTGTGTGAGGTGCCAGTGAAGCCAACATGTTACGTGCCACCTTTGCAGAGCAGCCATCTGGTGAGCGGGGCAGGCGCCAAATGTCACGTGAGGATCGGCTGCTGGTGGTGCGGCAGGCTGATGCGGCCTATGCAAAGGATGCCATTTCCTTCAAGGCCCACAGCTTTCTCACTGGGTGGGCAAAGGGAACATTGCGGCGTCATCCACGGCCAAGTGACTACAGCTTCTTGGTGACATATACTTTTGAATGCGTTCACGATGGTTGTCTCAGGTTTGATTCAATGTGCTGTATGCAAATGCCCTCATGATGGCTGTCTCAGGTTTCCTCCGTCACCGTTGTGAAGCTGGCAGTGGACACATGTCACATGATGTGGTTCCGCACAATCCACATTATGAAGGAGGCAGGCCACGCCCTATATTGGTGCAAGTGCACAATCCTGATCCTGATGGACCACAATTGGACCTTGTGGACCCTTGAAGTGTTGATCACATCAATCAAAACTTTTGATTTTCGTAAATATTTGTTTGTTGGGGCAACCTGCAGTTATATTCCTTTTAAACCAGCTGGTGCAAACCATGAGAATCATGTGCAGTTCAGGCAGATGATGATGATGCAGAAGATGATGAAGGGCCATGTGTCATTCAAAGAGAACCGTGACTAAGTGCTGCATCACATGCCATATATGGCTGGCTTAAATCAGAGCCATGACAAAGAGCTGTATCACATGCCATATGAGAAATGGCTGTCACCAATCCTGTGTGGAAAAGGGTTTAAAATGTGCACAGAACTGACAAGTGCCAGTAGTGACAAGAGTGTGGCAATTGATGATGTGGCATGATGTGAGAATATGGCATGTGAACACTATTCAACCATGCTCTTGACAGGTGCGCTCGCTCAGGCCACTGTTGTGAGGAGGTCTTCTATTTGCATCTTTGTGTGTCACAGTTGCAAGGTTTGTAGGTTTTGCATATTGAGAGATTGCTGTGCATTCCTTTGGTACTGAGGCAATGCATGTTGCTGGTTCTCGAATGGAAATGCCTGTCTCTCTGTGTCTCTCCTCCCTCTCTTTCTCTATCTCCTCTCTCTCTGTCTCTCCTCTCTCTCTCTCTCCTCTCTCTCCTCTCTCTCCTCTCTCTCCTCTCTCTCTCTCTCTCCACTCTCTCTCTCTCTCTCTCTCCTCTCTCTCCCTGGCCAATGGAAGTGCAGGGCCATAGAAGTACAGCGCCATAGAAGTACAGGCAGGCCCATAGTAGGCCGCAGTGTAGCAATGACCCAGGTGGGTAAAAGAAGTCCTAACATATAAAAGATAACAAATTGCAGGGGACCCATGTGACATGTGTGGTATCATGCATGACATGTGTTGCATTATGTGTGACATGTGTGGGGACATGTATGACATGTGTTGCATTAGGTGTGGCATGTGTGGTAACATATATGACCTGTGTTGCATTATATGTGACATGTGTGGTATCATATATGACATGTGTTGCATTATGTGTGA